ACTGCCTATTAACTGTGGGTAAACTTTTTGAGATGTAAGCCCTTTAACTCTGGGACTGCAGGTAGAGAGTGTTGACTTTTTAGAGAGAATATCATTTTACAAAAAACTCCACATAAGGGGGAGGATTTCACACAGAAGCCACCCCCTCAGGCGCTCCCCCACGCCCCCCGAAAAGTGATGATTAGTTCTATCCCAGACTTGATTTTCGAAATCTTCTTTTCTTTCTATAGAATATTTGGGGGGAGGGCGATGGTGAACTACAACCATATCTTCAGCGAAAGGCATGTTCTTTTTATCCAGCAGGGTGGGGGCAATCTTGCAATTTTAAGCTTTTTCTTGATGCATTTAATAAAATAAAATGCTAACTTTTTAGTTTTGAGTTATTCATGGTAGTAAGTTAGAGGTGGCTCCTTAGATGTAGATAAATAGCCAAACTATGTGAAGATTCTTTCTTCTCTCTTTTTCTTGCTTTTACTTTAAGCTTTGAGTATATATACTATAAAGTGAAGGGGCAGAACACAGAGGGGAAGCAACATCAATAAATGCTGCTTACGGACTATGCTTTCTTTATAAGGCAATTTGAAGAGTGGTTTTGGTTAGTGAGATTTAGCTGTCATAAAACTGATACCATTGATTAAATAGACTAGCCACTGAAATTGGGCATTCTATAAGGAAATGACAGCCAGTAAATTGAACAGCCTAGAAGCAAAATAAATAAATTATACCAAGTATCCTCGAAATGCCGTTTGAATTCTGATGGCTGCCACTTCCTTCTTTGTTTTTCCAACAAAATGAGGAGGTATTGTTGGAAGTACGGTACCTTGATCAACCTTCACAGCAGACTGGGAAGTAGCAGCAGCAGCAACCTTTGAAACAGCAGCAGTGGCAACCTCTGCAGAGTAAGCATATTTGCTTTCTCCATCATCCACCTCAACTAATCTCACATCTTCAGGTGGTGGGGATGGCGGCAGCGGCGGTGGAGGTCCCATGACAATATCTGGAGACACTGAATTGGAATTCGAATCTTCTTGCTGCCCAAACCATTTCTTCTTCAATTTCTGGAAGCACACAAAGTGAATTAATTAAAACCAAAATAGAATATTGGAATTCGATCTGATTATGTATTTTCCTCTGAGAGAATTGTAATTATGTAATTTTGCAACCAAAAGATAAAATAAAAATAGAAATTTCTAAAACCTCCTCTTCCTTCTTCTTGGACTCTGGGCGAAGAGCGTTTTTCACACTTGAAAACCATTTCCCTTTCCTACCCATCTCCTTATCGTTCCTTGTTTAGATCCTTCTGGAACCAAAGCAAACGATTACTCCAGAAATTTCTCTAGACTCAACAAATTAAATTTGATTTTGTCAATTATGCATTAATGTTTGCAAGCTTAGTGTAAGGCATCATTTGAATTTGTTCAATAAATAGAGAAATTATGGAAATAGTAAAGGAAATTTCTTCAAAGAAATGGTGATGACCTATATAGGTAAACACAAGCAAGAAACTTAATGAGCAATCTCAGTCCAAAATTCCGAAGGACTGAAGAATTTATGTCCATTTTATGCACAATTTTAACTAGACAGTATCTACTGTCGGCGGCTCCTTACAATCAAACGCCGAGAGAAGTTTGCTACATCTATGCTTTCCCCTAGATTTCTCATCCAACAAGAACAGATTAAACGAGCTAAATTTAACAAAAACTTATACAACAAAATCGCAAGTCCGAAAAATAAGCACTATCAGCAGTAAAAGAGCAGTGAGATTTACTGAAAGAGAAAGGGATTGCGCAGAAGAGGCAAACAATTCTAGTAAATAGCCAATCGTCTAATTGAATTGAGGTCCAGAAGAAAAGGACAGCGTACCAGAAAGAGAGAAAGTAAAAGATAAGTGTCTGGAAGCTAAGTGGGAAGGGCAGATCTCAAGAGAGCTGCTTCTTTCACTTGAAAAGATCTTACATCTCCCTCATTTTCCTTCTTCTTCCTCTTCCTTGTATGTACAAGAGAAACAAAAAGATTACAGGTTGAAAAAGTTGCAAACTGTCTGTAAGTTGTGTTTTGTGAATATAAAGCAAGAGACGAAGAAGAAAGAAGAATTGGATCTGGGAGATTTTTTCAATTATGGAAGAATATGAGGAAGACACAGCTGGTGTCGATGCGCGTCCCCAATGTTTGGGTTGGTTAACTGGGCCCCATTGTCAATTAACATGCTGCCAATCACGTCTCCATTTTTGCCAAGTAGCTGAGGAAGAGGAAGGTATCCAACGAATCTAATGAAATCAGAAACATGGGATTTATTCATTTTATAATAAATTGTGAAGTTGAAATTACATGAATTTTAAAAAAAAAAAAGGTACGACCAAATGCTTTCTGTTCTTATTATATTTAGCATATGAAGCGAGATGAGATTGTAAATTTCTTAATTAATGCTTGATTTTGATTGCAAAAATAAATATTTATTCCGGAACTAAAAGAATTTTTTTTTTTAATTTTTAAGTAATCTAATTACCGTATTTGCTTGTAATTTGATTAAAAATCATCCTATCTTATGTGGGTAGTAAGTAGTTCATTGATTTTTTGGCTTGTATGGGTTTCATGCTTGAATTAAACCTCCTTACTTGCCAATTTTATCTCAGAACAAGAAAGTAGAACACATGAAGGTCGCTAATTTCCTATTTGGATGACATTTGTGAAAACCTTTCATAAATCTCTTTTATTGTTTCATACTTCTCTTTTGAACCTTACTTGGCAAAAGTGGATAAGACTTCTTTGGACTCCATTGATGAAGCCGGTAGCGATACTCTCTTTCAATGAAGGGTGGCAGTGGCAGTGGCAGTGGATGAACCAGGAACGATGAACAATGTTTTGATTAATAATGATGGATTCTTTCAAACGTGCCTTTAGAACACAAATGGAAAAAGGAATAGTGAGTCTATAAGGACATTCATATGTATGACACGTGACTTTTACATAGATTTGAATTATATATTTCATCAATCAATCATGTAAGTTAATTATTAATTTAAATGGGTAATTTGAATATTTTGAAAAGTTCAGAATTAATTCAAATGAAAAAAAACAAAAGTAAAAATGTAATTTGAACACAATTTTTAAAAACTTGGACAATTTTAGCCATCTCAACCCCCAATTAGTAGCTCTCACGTCTCAGAATTTTCCAATGCACACATTATTATGTGTGTGTGTGTGTGTGTGTGTGTGTGTATTATTAGCGGCAAATCATGAATTGGACCCACTGTTTAATACCTGTGTTATAATTGAATTTGGGGGACGTTAGCTTGACATTTGGAGCGGTCTTATTATCAATTGATACGTTTGAAAGAAATAACTTTTGACATGTACCGATGAGTGATATGTATGTACTCAAACAATTTTAATCACTTATAAAATTTAGGAAGGTTGATTAGTAGAATAAATGAATTTTTATTTTTTTAAAAACTACATATAAAGTAAACACGCTTACAAATTTCTACGGGGACAAAAATTGAAAAAGAAACTTGACAGTTGCATTGTAAGTGTATATATATATATACATACAGGATCAGTTTTCTTCTTCACTCATCTTAAAAGTGTATCTTCTTCTTCTTGAGATGATATGCCGTCTTCTTGATTAATTTTCTCCATGCATAAAACACGAAAGCTGATATTAACTGATTGGAGGAGTTACATCAGGAAAACGGAAAATGCCAAAGCATGATCTTTGAACAGTCTGATGGTGGGATTCCTTTCAATTTTCCCTCATCTTCAACAATTATTTCTTTCACGTATTTGATTGAATTCTGTCAAACAAAAAAAAAAAAAAAAAATTAATAGCCAAAATCCAGTAAATTTTAAATTTTTGTATTAATGATATATATATATATATATTTAATTCATAATTGAGTATATATCTTATTTTATAAGTATATATGTATGTATACCTGGTTGGTGCGTTGAGCAGATGAAGGTCGACCCCACCTCTCAGGGTCCCAAAGAATGGAGCTATTGAATGCAAAAGTCGAAATATGAATATTGTAATTATCTGGCCCAGTTTTATTATTCAAGTGCCATCCAATTACTTGTGAAGATTCGCATACAGGCCCTTCAATTTTCACCTTCTGCTTCTTTGCTGATACTAATGCCATTGCCCATGTCCCAAATACCCTGCAAATTTACACATTGTTTTTTTTATTTAATTATTACATCCTACTGAAAATAAATAAATATCTAAAAAAATAATAATTTACATACTCAATATCTCGGAGGTGATGGAAGAAATGAAGATCGTACGTGTTGGATAGACTGGCAAAATGAACAATCCCACTCAACCTGTGGTGTTCAATGTGACTGAGAGCAAGGTTTCTGTGGTGAGTTAACTCAGTTTCTGGGTTACTAAAATTTTGTTTGCACACCAAATATCTATACATTATTCCTGTTTTGCTAACAATGTCCGACACTTGATTAGAATCTGATTGCCCTTCAACTATCATCCACAACAATGGCGGATCCACCAACCTCAAAGTATTACTTAACCTCCTCAAAAACACTCCTTCATAACCAGGACTGTTTTTGCTAATAATCGTAGTCACTATTATTATCAGCGCTCTAGGGCTCATCTCTTCTTCATCTCCTTTTTCCATTTTCGTTATTAACTTTGCACCATCTGCTTCTTTAGAAGTTGATGGAACTGGGACTGGGATTGGGACTGGCCGGGGCGATTGAGGTGTTGGTGAAATACTGGTATTGCTGGAGAGCTGATGAGCTTGCTGTGATGTGGGTGAAGGAGGATACTGTCTAAACAAAATTGGAGCTTTACTGGTTGGAGCAAAGCCTGTAAAGAATCCCATAACAAAGCATAAAGAGAAATGGAAGATAGCTTTCTTCCATAACAGAACTTTCTTCTTGGATCTATCGAATGATCCCATTGTCTGGAAATGAAGAAGGAAAGGGATTCAAGAGTATAATTACAGTATAATATATATATATATATAAAAGATGGGAATTTGAACAGAAGTGGCGAGAAATGTTATTTGGAGGGGAGGATGTCTTCAAGTGAAAGAAAATAGAATGAGTTTGGCACCAAATGGTTGTTGGGATGGAAACCCAGCAACTAAAAGTTGAAATTGACAATAACAAATATTCTTGTTTTTTTTTTTTTTTTTTTTTTGCTTAGTTTGCAATGAAACAAATAAAAACCAAATAGTAATTATTTGACAAATATTTTGTTCTAATCTATGAATCCATATATATCATAGTGAATTTGAATTAATTATTAAAATGTACAAATTACATTCATTATCATGTAGCATGACATCAACTGAATTAAATTTAATTCTAAATATAAAATAATAGTGGCATGCAACATGTTTTTAGAATATATTAATGGACAACTTTCTCAAGGTCTAAAACATCTCTGTTTTGAAGCGCACTGACGGGGGGGACTGAAGTGACTTGGGGCTGGATGCCGAGTCAAACCAGAGCGCTGCCCCGATTTTCTGGCATTCCTTCCGACGGGAAGATAACCTCCGTTGCGCGTAAATCTGTACCTTGTTTTCCCTTTCAAAACTTCCGTGGTCGGGTGAGTATTGGTATGAAAATCCCCCTCTTTTTAATGCAATCTTCGAAAAGATTGTAGTGGTTTTGATTTTTTTACAATGGCGAACTTGTATGTGTTCGATTGTCAAGATTGAATGTTCGAAACAAGTTTTCTTCTTCTTTGACGTTTGTTGAATAAACCCCATCACGTGTTCGTCAAAAGTCTTGTGATATCACATTGGTCGACTTATGATTAAACTGAATGTCCTTGAATTTTTAGGGAATTTTGTCTTGATAATGAACGAAAATTAACTTTGTGATTAGGCTATTAACCCTGTGAATCATCACCCAATGTTTCCTTTAAATCCCTAACTGGAGTGGTTAAATCCTTGTATTTCTCTAACCTGAATTTTTTTGGATGCTATGACTGCACCTGATTGTAGAGCTGCATAAACGGTCGGATCTTCTTCCACACTTTGACCTGTCATCTGGTAAACACTAAGTTCTTTATGTGTAAATTTTGCTCTTAAAAGCATGAGAAAAGTGATACCTGATAACTCATGACGTTTTTATGGCTGAAATCACTTGTTCAGTTCTTCGTTCTTTTAGCTTCTGATGTATGGGTTTTTTATGTGTTTTATTAATGAACACCATTTGGGTGATAATAATAGATTGCATAGGGGTGTGACATTAACAGATTGCCCAGTTGTGAACTCAAGAAGCTCAGTGGTTAACTTGTGAATAAGTTTAGAAGATGTTCGATGATAGGTTTGGTGGTGCTTTGCTTATCTGTTCAATTAGGATTCTACTTAATTGAGTTTTACTTCTTGTGTACCAACTTGCCACTCTTTAGTTGAAACTTTTGGGTAATATACGAGTAGTTTACTGAGTCAAAGATCCTTATTGATATGCTGACTTTTCTATTTCTTTTCTCTTTGATATTTATTTTCTTATAAACGTTCTCGAGTTGTAAATGTAGGATGAGAGTCGATGAGGATTAAAAAATGCTAGGGAGAACAGGCATTGGGGATCATATATATTTTGTTCCTCTTCTCATTTGATTTTCCTGTTTTTAGTCTTGGCTTGCAGTACTCTGTTATTATTATCCCACTAAATTGGATATGTATCCATGCACATAGTTGCACTTAGGACATGAACAAATGCATAAGAAATAATTAATAGTCTGTATCACGTAGTATGTGTTTCACATCCTTCATGTCCTGTTTAGTCTTAACTAGTGTAGTTTTTGGTGTTTGATTCTACCCATGGATGGATTTGTGGAAATCCTTTTAAACCTTTAAATTTGAACCAAGTAAAATTATTTTCTGGATGCCCGGACTTTGCAATGTGACAGTCTTCATGTCAAATGTTCCTTAAAACTTGGATGTATGACTCGCAGGACTGATTAATGTATGAGTATGACTTGACCATGCTAATATGTTTTATCAATGCCAGATAATTGTCTAACCAAGGCCCCTCATCTGTGTTCATTTGACCTGCTTTTATTTGTAGTATGTATAACTGAATGGATAGCTTTGCAATTGAACTCTAAGTTGGGATCTTTTAAGTATGCTTAAACATATCCCTTGGACATAAGAGGAATAAATCATTTTCCACATCTGATGGAGTTCCTTTCTGGAGCTTAACAAGAAATCTTGGATTGCATTGCAGAAGCATGTCTGACTGAGTTCTGTGTATGCACTCAGCTGACAAGTTACTGAGTGTGCCCTTCACCAAACATGTATACATGCTATCTCTTATGCATCCGGCTTGTTTGTTTTTGACTTGGTTTCTTTAAAGCAAGCAACTTAATTCTATGCCAAATGCGGATCTGATTTTGAGTGGGCGACAATGTTAGGTTTTACATGACTTCTTTTGTTGGTAATGGGGTTAGAATAAAAATGGTAAAGAATGTTTCTGTTCGTATAGATAAGGATGGGAAATTTTGGAATTTGGGAGAAGATAACACACTTGTTGGGTGGGTAAATGCATGGAAAGTAGATTAGGAGGAAGTTACTAAGGAGCCCTGGCATCTCTTGGTCTGATTAGGCTATGAATCGTTTGGGACGTATTCTTTCTTCTTATGGATCAGGGCCGTCCAGTGTGGATGTATAAACAACTTGGGCCTTTTTGTGCTTTTAGTGTCTCTTAGCTAGCTGATCATGTTGATGGTCTTCTGCCTTTTTAAGTGTTTATGTAGGACAAAATTATTAGTCATAGCCAAAACATTTGGAAGACCAATATTGCTACAGAAGGAACAGTCTTTACCATTTGGTAAAGGAAATTTTGACAGGCTTTTGAATGGTTTTTAACTGTTCTTAAAAGTTGAATATATTGTAGCGAGTGTGATTTTTGATGTTATTATAACATTTTACTTTTTATGTAATAATATATTTGTAGTATCTCTAGATGTAGGACGAAGATGATGATGGTATACGAGCGTCTGCTGGCACTTGACAAAGAGCCTATACTGAGTAGCTAGCTGCTGCCCTTATACAAACCTACTCCTGTACGCTTGCATGCAGATCGGCCGGGGAGGAGGTGTCCCAATCCCATCGTCAATCATAAAAATTAATTAAGGTGACGTCAAAACCACCCTCTTTCCTATTCATCCCGTCACATCACTTCTCTCAAAACCCCAATTTAGCAGCCAAATATTTTCTACTCTCCCGAGTTTACATAAATATTTACTAATTAAAAATAGAAAAACGAACTTAATTTACTAGCTACTACTCCATTTATATAGAAAAACCTCCAACAAGTCATAAATAATAGAGGATACGTGCATGGATGGACATGTACAGCGACATTACATAACCCATATATAAAGATTCTATATATAATGATGGTGTACGGACAAAATGCCACACACATTACACATACACACACAACATACGTACGTACGTACATATATATATAGAGGAATATAGTAGAAAATCCAATTATTAACATACGAAGAAGATGTTAGCTAGGGAATGGACGGCCAAGATTCGGCAGCAGGAGGGAGTGTGATGGGTTGGTCTAACATGAGGTGAAAATTAGCGAGCGTGTTGAAAGCAATTGAAGTGGACGTGTCATCGACAGCAGCGCCTTGTGGCCCCAACATACTGGAATCCATATCAGAAAACAAGGGGCTGCTGCTTATGTGATTAATCTTGTCCATCCAATTCATCTTAGCATCGACGGGTAATATTTGGAAATGGGAGAAGGTGGCCTCTGTCTTGCACTGTTTGGTAACAGTACTAGGGAGTTGTTGTTGTTGATGTGAGAGGAGAGACTTGAAGAGGATGGAGGAGTTGGTGTTATTAGTAGCAGCAGAGAGCTGGTTGATTAAGGCATTTGATTGGGAGAGAAGTGGGTTGATTAGGGTTTTCAAGTGGTGGTTGGTGACGAAAGGGTTTCCAGGACTGGTTTGATGAGTCTGAGACTCTAACAATGGTGTTTGGTTCTCCAGCAGTACTGGGGCCAAGGACGACCTCGAGGGAGATAAAACTGAAGCTGCTGCTGCTGCTGCTACACTATTTTTTTTCTCCCCCGTCTTGTGAAATATTCTGCAGATCACCCATTCCTCCTGCACTCCATTTCACGCATATATATATCGTCAAAACTTTAGTGGCTAGTATTCCAGTTAAGAAGAAGATCAGAGTCGTAAATGAAATCATGGTTGATCCTGTTAACTTGGGATTAATCATTAATGTTTAATTGTGATGAGAATAGAAATGAGAGAGGGAGGGTAAGGGGTTGTCATATCAACACCATCACGTCAAAAACTATCCCCAAAGGTTAAAAATTAAATATTACGTGATAGAGAGTAAGTCAACCCGGAAAACGACAAATAAAAAGTAGGGATATAAAGAGGTTGGCAGGGCGAGCACGTGCGGAGGGGAAAGGGTTTTTACCTTGCACGTGTGGCGAAAAGAAAAGTCACCGTCGAGACGGTACTCGTGCATCACCCACTTGGTCTTCTCTCCGCGGGGAGCCCTACCCTTGTAGAAGACGAGGGTTTTCTTCATTCCCAGAAGAGCTCCGGTGGAGGCACTGTAAACCTCCCTGTCCTTGCCTGTGGCTTTCCAGTAGCCAGCCCCTGTTGCTCTGTTGGTTCTAAGCCCCGTTGGGTATTTCCTGTCCCTTAGGCTGAAGAAGTACCATTCCTTCTCTCCCATCTTTGCCACATCTGAAACAATATTCATCCACATTAATTAATTCATTTTTACATATATCCCTGTTTCATTCACACCTCACCCAACTCCCTTTCTCAACATTAATTACCAACCTACAACCCCTCTTGTATAAACATTGATTTTTCAACCACACAATATATAAATATGGAAACAGTTCTTGTGGGTTAATTTTTGCTGTACCACATAAATAGATTAATCATATATCCATATGTATACATGTATATACCTATTAAAACATGACTTGGTACTGTCACAACATGTATATACCTATTAAAAATCACAATCAACCTAGCTAATGCTAAAAGCGGATGAAACCAAGATGATTTAATCGACCAACTAGACTCCTCTATTGCACTGTATGGGTAGGTAGGGCTAATTCTGAAAATTATGATGAACTTGAAGCCTGAAGTCATGGTCTGCCAGTACTATTTCATCAACAATCTTAATACTGGAATTAGTTGAGCGAAATTTACTAACGAAGACAAAACGTATATCTATCACTACTGCCAGGATTTTTTTTTTTTTTCAGGAATTTCTTGGGGAATTGTAATAATTAGACCCACAATCGAGCAATATGTCTACTTGTTTGTGCTTTTAAGTTTTATGCTACTTAAATAGTCTGGTATATGATAATCATAGACAAAAGGAAAAAACCAACCATGTCAGAAAACTGAAATATATATGTATGTATTAGAAAAAAAATAAAAAGGAAGGAAGAGAGAGTTGTAAATATAGTTATAAAGCATACCTGGAAGCTCCCACGGTTCACATCTATTAAGATCAAGCTCAGCAATATGGAGACCGGAAAAAGTGGCATTAAGCACCTTAGAAGCCAAGTAAAAAGTAATAAGCTCTTCATCAGTGGGGTGAAACCTAAACCCAGGTGGTAGCCCTTGCTCATTCACTTCTTCCCCTACGCCAAGTTCCCTGAGAACATCTTCCACAGCCAACATGTCCGCTTAAGCACTTGCTCTTTGTTGCTAATTAAATTAAAGACGAACCAAAGGATGAATATACTATGTATATTTATATATATGTTGAGAGAGAGAGAGAGAGAGTAGAGAAGGGTTTGAAGCGCACTGAAAACGAAGGAAAAAAAAAGAAGAGAGAATCCGAAGAGGTTTGTAAATGCGAGTTGTGGAGAAGATGAAGCTATAGATAGATTTGGGAGGCCCTACAAAGCGCACCTGAAAAAAAAATATATAAAAGAAAAGCTTCCCAATCATGTAAAATAAAAATTATTGGAAGTAGAGAGTTTACTTTTTCTGAAATACAAGAGATTTTAGAGAGAGAGAGAGAGAGAGAGAGAGAGAGGAAGGTGGGGGGAAATAAATGCGAATTAGTTTTTTTTTTTTCTTGGTTAGATTATTTTTCTTCAGAGATTTATGCGTGCTCTTGTGAATATGTTTGAGAAATTTATGAAGCAGAGTCAGGTCCTCATCTCTAACACGAGAAAATAAAACCTCTACCTATCTCAACAGTGAGAGCGTTATTTATCACCAAATTCCTCTCTCTCTCTCTCTCTCTCTCTCTATATATATATATATATATATATGTACACGAAATATAATGAATGTAGCAGAGTGTAGCAGTACTGTTTTTTTATTATAAAAAAAAAATTGTACAGCAAGATTGTCGTATCTCTTCAACCCAATGTTGTATTTTGATGCGGTGATCCTCATAATTTTATTTTCCTCTTTCGCAGAGCCAAACCTCGAAATTAGCTTTTTCAATAAGTGCAATTTTCTTTTTTTCTTTTACAAAAAAAAAAACATATAATAATCTTATTTCTTTATATTCAATCCTTCCCACCAAAAAGAAAATTCTTTAGATTCTGTTTTCTTCTTCTCTGGGGTTACAATAACCCGTTTTGAAGTCTATCACGCTGCCAGCCATTTCTTTTCAATAATATGCTTGCCTCCTAACCTCATCATATATAACTCAAACATATATATATATATATATATAACCCTTCTATCACACGTAATATGTTGCAGTAATAAAAACCCACGACTTCATAATTCCCGATTGCTTTAACTTCTGCATTTCTTACAAATAAACGATCGCATATTGACAACTTCTATGTTTGTACGTGTTATTTACTCAAAATGTACACAACTGAATTATTATACTTCATCACCTACATTAATTCCTTGGGCAGAATTTATGAATTTCATCACCTAATTAAATGAATTGGGTTGAGGTGAAGCAACGACATTCATAATGGGAAGACAGCAGTTAAAATGCCGGCGTTGCACGTGTATATGTATATACAAAATACATATATATATATATATATATTTATAGAGAGAGAGAGAGAGAGACAGAGACAGAAAAAAAGTGAAGTGAGGATTATATAATCGAAGGGTGGTTGTCCTAACTCGCAAAGCTGCTCTATATCCAGATGCAGACAGTAAAAGCGATCTTAGTAAGTCTACCAAGTAAAAGATAACAACACCCCCCAAGAATCTAATGCCATTCCCTTCTCAATCCTATACAAATAAATTTTACAGCTCACTCCCTCTTTATAGCTTTACGTAAGTCTACTTACAACTACCTCTGCTGTACCTATACATATTGTTTTATATAGCCACCTTCTAATTTCTCTTAATTAATCAATCCAAAAACTAATTAGTTTTAATCAAACTTAACTCTAAAATTTTAAATTGTTTTGGACTTTAATACATAATGCACTACAACTTGTTATTATACTAAATATATATATAATATATTTACAACTAAATTCTATAAAAATTTTAAATTTACTTAATATGTAGATGGAATTTTTAAATGCATGACCTCAAATTTATTTAGAATTTTTTAAAATTTTATACAAAATTAAGTATGAATACGTTAAAATTATAAATTTCATTTATCTTAAACATGGGCTACCATTTTGCATCTAAAAGGGCCCAAACAAAAAGTGGGTCGGTGCTCTGGACATCGAACCGACCCGCGTCTCCTGGAGCTCCCCCTTCTCAAAGACTGCCACGGTTTTGTGTCCCCGTCTCTTTCATATGTTGACCTCTATAAAGGATTCTCAAGTTTTCCTTGAATGCAAATTAAAGTTATTTTGTTTCCTTTATTAAAAATCATCGAATGCCTAAGTATTTCGTCAGCGACAATCAAATTTTCCCATGAAAAATAAGGTAATTTTATGCCAAACCATTCACTTGTTCGCTAATTTGAGGTTTCCTTTGATTATTACTTACTTATTTTATCTTCATAGAAATGGGAATCATAGATCGAACTTGTATTACTTTTCTTTTTTCCTTGTCATTACATTTTTTACAGTTAACTGTTTGAACGAAAGAAAATCTGTAATTTCATGAAGCTGCAATTTTAGTTCTGAGTAGTGAGTTTATACTTCAACGAGGTTTCCAAACACTACTCGCGGCTGGTGATTTAGCCTCTGAGAGAATGTGAGCAAGGCAAAGCCACCCATGAAATCATTTTCCTCTATTTTGATGAATATGCAGATTTAACATTTTTATGTAGTATTGCAAATTGGGATTGTAGATATTGGATATAGACAGAGATGTAGCAGCTATTCAAGGGTCAAATTTTCTGGGTTTTAAATGGATTGCTTAAGTTGCTCGTTAGGGGGCAGTTCAATGTAGGTACGTAATGCAGGGTTTTTTCCAGAGTTGGTAAAGTTCAATTTTCTCGTGAAAGACTACCAATTCATGGAGTTCTATGTGGTGTTTAACTGTCTCATGAAAGAATCTAATGGAATTGATTTTTGAAAATAGTACAAATTTGTATTAGTTCTCTTAGAAAGCTGATTTTATTGTGTTTAGCACTGTATATGTGAGTGTGAAACTTAAAAAAGAAGTTTTTGGGGTAACACTGGAGGTAATGTCATGTTTATGTAAAATATAAAAGAATTGTATGCTTGTCATTGTCATTGTTTATTGGGATACTTTATTTACAAATCCACCTACTTTTATTCATGAGATAATTTTCCTGCTTAAGTCTGATTTCAATTCAACAAGGATAAAAGGCACTGGGAAAAATGCATGTGAAACAATAAATAATCATCAGACCAAGTAAGATAGAGCTGCATCATCTGTATTATTGCATCTTTAATTTCTATCTGCTATTCAGGTATGACTAGGGTCCACTTTGCTTATTTCACAAAATGTGAATGACATTAGAGTCTTGGAAGAAGCTACGTTGGGAAGCATGGATTTTCCATCTCGATGGAATAACAACAACAATCCTTCTAAGGGGTCTGAGGAGAAGCCATCATTCAATGATCAACATTTCTTGCTCAATTTTATTATGAGTACTTACTTTGGTCCTGATGTGTACTCCGATAATCCTAGGTGTTCAGCATCTCACAGGATAGCCAAAAGATTTCCGCCATATACTTCAAAGAATCTGGGCTCTTCATTTCTTAGCACTTCTCAGCTACAGAGCTTGTATTACTATGTCTTGAGGAATGCTAATTCTGGCCTTGTTTTGGAACCAAATATGTTGCATATGTATCTTAAGGGTAAGCTGCCTTTGCCAAGCTCAGCACTGTTAGAAGATTGTCGGCAGTTCCCAAGCTTTTTCCCTCTGAATATTCATGAACATAAAAGGTACTCAGCAAGGCACGAGATTGTGAAGGGCGTTGTTCTCATTGATAATCCTGTGACATCTTACATAAAAGAGGAGGACCTGAAAAGGTTCAGATGCTTATCTGGTAGGAATGATTTGAAGCTTGACAAAATCAAATCCCTATCTTACCAACCTGGACGCGAGGATGGAAAAGGTGAAGATGAGAATAATTGGGTGACAAGTCATGACGAGATTGCTGCCAGATGTGTTTCCTATGTAAATGGTAGTTTGTCAGCAAAGTTTACAGGAATATTTAAGATAGATACTGAAGGGACAGTTAATAGATGTGATCCCAATGGAAACAATGATTCATCTATGAAGTTTCTGGAAACGTATAAGAGAAGGCGCTGCGATCCATTGTCAATGCCAGCATTTCCCTGTACTGCTTCTGCATCAAAACCTCAAAATGATATTTGCAAAACAGATGGACCTGCCATCTTTTCTCTTTTAGCTGTTTCACATATGCATGAATGTGTTTCAGATCCATCAATCATTTTTACTGGGACTGCAAGAGAAGGGATATCTGGACCACCTGTTGGCGTTCTGGATATAGGAATTAGCAAAGCTGCGTACTTCTTCCGAGTTGCATTGCCTGGAGTCAGGAAGAATTTCTGTATGTCTCTTTTTGTTCCAAGCTTTTGATTAATCTCTATTAGTTTCTGATATATGGTACAGATTGATAACTGATGCTACAACTGTGGTGGTTAATCTAAAGATTAAGTCACAACTAAATTGATGCTCCAAACTTTGGTACCTCTGCTTAGCCTTTGGAATTATAAATCCTTCAACTTCTCTACTATGTGGGAATTGCCTTTTTCTCTGCCCTATAACACAGTATCCATGGATCTTTTGGGTGATACAATTACCATTGAAACTGCCTAAGAACGACCACATGTTTGGGGTTACTTTTACTCAATTTTGAAACACTGTATTTTAGAATAGGTACCAAATAAATTGTTATAAATCCATTCTATATTGTGTCGTTGGTTTATGGGTCTGATGAACACAGTGACTTCCTGCACCGCCATGCATCTTCATTTACTGATCAAGTCTTCATGATAAGCTGTCTCTGGTACTGGTTTCTTTGGTTCTAATTATATAACAATATCTGTTTCCATAGGTGAGTTCAGTTGTGAGATTGAACCCGATGGACGAGTTCTTCTTCAAGGATCAATAACTGGTGGAAAAACGGTGAAGAAGCGCTCCAGGACTTTTGAGATGAAGTTCCGGCAATTATGCCCACCTGGACCTTTCACACTTTGTTTTAATCTTCCGGGACCTGTTGATCCAAGGCTATTTTCACCAAACTTTAGATCTGATGGCATTTTTGAAGCAGTTATCATAAAGCTGTAATGTTAGGTCTCCAGATACACCAGTATTCACTCTCTTGACTGGGCTGAGTCCAGTTGTCGATGGTAATCTCATTTGGGTTATATGAAGGCTTGAATACACTTGTGTTTTTTCGAGGCTGCTGCCTTATTTACTTTGTTAATGTGATGTGGCCAAATGCCTGTATGAGAAAGTTGACGGTGGAGAACATACTGATCACACACATATATCATCTTCGATGTTTATAAATAACAATCCTCATTACCCTTTTTTTTTTTTTTTTTAATTTTCTAATTATTGTTATTAGAGATGTCAGTGACACCAGTCTGTATGTTTTTTGGACCCAGCCTGATGAAACTGGGAAAAAGACATTATTCTTTATAATATGAGTTTAAATTTATTTACATGTTTGGTAAATAATTATATATGTTGTAAGTTCTCGTATTTTAGAAGACTTATAAACTCTCTTTTGGTCATTTTAATTAAAATAATACTTTATGAGTTATAACTTTATTAAGCATAAATAAATAAATGCAATTTATAAACCGTGTTATTTGAATATTTAAAAAACTTATTTTGAAAAATTACATTAGTTTATATGCTACCAAAATAAAATAAAATGGAAATAACAAAAGTATTTAGTGATAATACTGTATTAACATACATCTACTCAGATGATTACATATCGCTACAGCATTTTATTTTATTTAAATAATTATACACTTACAAGTTTTTTTTTAAAAAAAGTTATATGTATGAATATTACCTATTCAAAAATTATATATTTTGTAAGATCATAAACCATTAGGAAACTTGAAGGCCCAAAAAAAAAAAAAAAAAAAAAAAGCGAAAAAGCCGCCAATGAAACTATGGGCGGCAGCGAGTCGCTCTCTTCGCCGATTCAAAAACCAGATTGCACAGAGAGTTGTCTACTGTTTTGTGTGGCGTCCGGTTATTGTGGATGAACCAACTACCGCCATTACCAGCGTGACAATGTTAACCCCGCTGTAGAGAAGTGTCCGGAGAGTCGGAGACACAGACCTACCAACTACTCGGACGCCGTCGTTTTGCCCCCGGAAGGCTACTGGGTAATTCTATAAACCATTGATCTCTGCTTGTTAACGTGCTTTTCCGGTTCGCAGTTCCCTCGTTTTTGGTCTATTTGGTTTTTACTCATGGATTCTCCATACTTTGTAGAAATTAGGGTTTTGTTGTGGTTAATTCGTGTTATTTGCGATTCGCAGTATTAGAGAACTTATGGTTAATGCTGATGGTGCTTCTGTTAGTTTCCTTTTCGCTTTCTGTTCTTTACTTTTTCTAGCGTAGTTCGGTGATTTCGGTCTACTTAACCAGTTCTGCTTCGTTGTTTGATTACACAAAGAGGATGGGTCCTTTTTCCCTTTTCTTTTTAGTTCAACGTCGCTAGCTCTCTCTGGAGAATTGATACAGTTGGTTTGCTTCTTGTTTTCGCTATTAATGCTTAATAGTTCTCTTGTTTCCAACATTTTGAATGGACTTTCACCTCCATTGCGGAGTCTGAATAATTATTTATCTCACAGTGGATTGTGGCTCTCAATCTGTTTTTGCTGGAATTGATAGAACTTGGCTCGAAGGTAAACTTGTTTTTATAATATGAGAAGTGAGATTTCCTAGCTAATATACGATGTTTTGTGTCAGAAATGATCCTTCCTTACACAAGCTTGTGATAGGGGCTTGTCTGATGCATTGTTTGTTTAAATAATTAGGCATTGGATTTTTGTTCTAAGATGTTTCATACGATTGTCATCCTCTCTGACCCATCTTTCTGCTTTGGTATTTTAGGAGAAAAGTACTGTTAAATGTGTCTTTTGGATATTGGCCAAAGAAATATGCCATCTGCCTTCCTTTTCCTGTCGAAGAAGGCGATTGTAAAACAAGTGAACCAAGCTTTATTTTCCCAACATACAGAGATGTACCTGTATAATAGTCTCTGAATGAATGGTGCTATGCTACAATTTATTGAACACTAAAAATGACTTTTTATTATTTCAAACTTATGGACATTTTATTTCATCTTTTGAAACATTAGTGTTCATTTTCAAGTACCAAATATGTCTATGTATACACATATACGAATATAGAGAATCAGAACTGGGAATGTTTTTGTGTGCCAAATCAAGCACTACTTAGGTCAAACTGTCTGGAATTAGACTTGACTTTAGCTAAAAACATCGTCTGCTTTTTGAGGCTAGACGGCCTAGCCTTGATTGGAAGGCTCTAGTAACTTCAAATGGGTCTTTCTGTCTTTGCATTATTTTACTTTTGTTTCCTAATGTTATACCACATCTTCTATCTTCTTCAACAAACTCATCATGTAGTAAATCAACAAAATCCAAAGTTATGTCTCTTTTCCTTCAAATTTATCTACTATGGTCTCAGCGCGAATATGATCCCCACTAGATAAACGTAAGGCTTTAGATAGTACACGGAAGTGCATACCATGATTCTTCTATCTATCAATAACTGCATACATTGCACAGTGGATGTGAAGAAGTAGACCATTATCTTGCCAATAATGGGTCAAGCTTTTACTGTTCCTTTCCTCACGTGGATTTTGTCGCAGATAGGAAGTCATTCCATTGATGTGTTTCCGTTTTTGTGGCTTTCTTCCTCTCTCTGTTTTGTAATTGTTTTAATAAGTAGCAGTTTCTCACATTCTTGTTTGGAAGGTTATATAACACCTGTTTTTGGTAACAGATGCAAAGACACGTGCACTAACTTAATTGTACTGTTCAATTAATGGTCAGATTGTCACTTATCCTTTTCAAAAATTGGATTCACTTAGCATAGTTAATTTCTAGTGGAGAATCTGGAGACTAAGCTTAAATGAAAAGTGTGCAGTTAATGTGTACAGTTAAAGTTGATGGTTCAAGCTTTCACTAAGACCATGAGAGCAAGTTGATGTTACCAATAAAACTTAAGTGGAATCGGTGATTTCAGGTCTCCGGCTTATTAGGGTCATGGAAAATAAGGCGAAGGAAATAATGGGAAGATGGCAGAGCATGACAGGATGGACATAAGTATGTCTTATCTGGTCAGCAAGAACGAGTTCTTTTGTTTGTCTAGAAAATTGAATTAGATGCTGCAACTTTCTTGGTTTGTATCAACTGATAACTTGGAAAGGCTCCAAGGGGATTGTCACTTGTACAATTTATTCATGAAGACACCATGGGCGTACCACATGTATATTTGCAGAAGCAGGTCTAAATTTTAGGTTTTGTTTATACTTTGGAAACGTAAAGTGACAAGTGTGGAAGATGAGTTTTGCCTTTGAAGTCCTAGCGCTAATGATTAGTTATCTGAATTTCCTTTCTTTATCCACTATCAATGAGGACTGCATCCTCCCTGCGTTTTTACGGTCCCTTTAGCCTTGTATTTAGAAGTATTGCATAGAATGTTGTAAGATTGTCCCAACATTTTATTGCTACTAGATTTTGTTTTCACTTAATAAGATGTTCCCCCTGTATATGTTCTCATGACAAAAATCCTTATGGAACTCAGTTCAGCAGCTGCTTGTTGCAAGTGAGTGCATAACACTATTGTGGTGTTGGTTTACTTGAAGATATTGTGTGCTTAACTAGATACCTAGACATCCTATGAGTATTTTCTTTGTTTCTCGTTTTCTATATTTTCACTACATTTGATTGCTTTGTTAGTTGTTAGTTGCTAATGTCGCTGGAGATTAACTCTGTTTTAAATATTGAATATTGAGTATGCACTAGTGGGTCCTTCATGAAATCTCAATCATCAATGAAACTTTTGCAGGATAAATACTATTAGGTTAAATGGGACTACAGTGAGTACGAGTTATGACCTTTCTCTCAGTGTTTTACTTATACCAAATGTGGTGTGCTAGGTCCTTTGAGGACTTCTAGTATCAATACTTGTATTGTGTACTTCATCTTGAACACTTGAATGCTAGCAAAATTACACCCCATGCTAGATATTTCACTAATCTTTAAAGTTCTAGATAATTTAATAATGTCAGAATTCTAATACATGCATGTACCAGGAGTTGCAAATGAAGAATATTTTCTACATTAACCTATTTAAGCTTCATTGTGTACTTACTCATTGGAACCTAATAGGTGGATCTGGAGATATCGGTCATTGGAAGGAGGCAAATTTAGATAGTGCCAAAATGCAAGGTTATGCTGATCATCCAAAACTAAAGCGATCAGTTTTTATCACTGGAACTGCTAAGGAATCTCGTGCTGGACCAGCTATTGGTCTGCTCGACATTGGTGTGAGTGACAGTGCTTACCTTTTTCGAGTTGTGTTGTCTGGCGTACGTAAGGATCAAAGTAAGGTTCCCATCTTCTGTTGTTTTTAAGCCATTGGTGCATGACAACTTTTCTGGCTGCAAACAATAGAAGTATTGATGAGAACAAATATTTGCAATCCAGAGCAACAGAATACTGTAGAAGAAACCTGAAAGTGAAATTGCTGGAGAAAATGAATTTAGAAAGATTTAGGCTTTGTTTGGAACAAGTTCAGACGCATATTTGCAAATTCACGCTCCACTCAACTACACGATGATGTATCCATTAGAAAAAAGATAAAAATTTGATCTCATATAGAATTTTACCTAGATTTGGAACAATATATTATAAGTTTCATCAATTATCAAATATTTGATGTGCATTACTCTAATTTCGCATTAAATTTCGTATGAGATTTTTTTATCATTTAAAAAACACTTTCATCGTCTTTATTTGAACTTGTGTGAACTTGCAAACGAATTTAACAAAGTTTATGAACTTATTCCAAGGATGGCCTTATTGTGGCATAAAATCCAATTCCTCATTACACCTATAAAAAATGTATATAAGGTGCCTACACAATGCTTGTCCGTGCAGGTAATTTAAAATGTGAGATCCAGCGTGATGGGAGGGTAAAAGTGCAAGGAGTGGTAACAGATGGAGAAGTTGTTAGAGAGACATCAAATGTGTACCAAATGAATGTGCAGCAACTGTGCCGACCTGGACCATTCACCATTTCTTTCAATCTGCCTGGGCCAGTTGATCCCCGGCTGTTTGCTCCTAAGTTCCGGGCTGATGGAGTCCTGGAAGGGGTAGTAATGAAACACAAAAAACCAAGTGTGGCAGTGAATGGGCGGTGCTGAAATGCATGTAAGCTTGTAATTTATCTTGCCGCCTGCACAACCTTTCTGGCATGAACAATGATTACATGTGGTCTGTTCTGAAATAGCTTTTGTCTGGCATTGCCCAATGTGAATGTGGTTAGTCAATCTTGTAGTCTTGGTATGAATATGAGCTTTTAATATTGGCTGAGTCGAGAGTTTTTTACATCTCTTACTGTCCTGTTTTGGGTCATTATCGATAGAATCAATGGTGAAGTGGATGGTTTCTTGTCAATTGCATCATCTTCTTCATCAATCTCTCCTTATTTTGCAGCCCAACTGTTTATTTCTCCTCCCCCTCAACCCTTCCCACTTATTATGAAGATGGGATTTCTCGAAGTGGTCAAAATGTGGGGAGCATCGACCCCAAGGCAACTGGTTTTTCTTTTCCTTTTGTCCTCTTGCAGAATTGAAATTTGATATCGCACCCTTCCGATTGATTGCACACCCAAAAACAAGTATAGTGTTAGAGTCAATATTGTATAGGCTTTTGACATTTTGCATATGGAATTTGCTTGAATGACATGTTGGGAGAAAAGTGGTTTGATGCTTCAGAGTTGGTAGATCTATATAATAGGAACGTTTAAAGTTTGTTTATATAATTTTTTTTGAACAAAGATACGAGAGAGAAAGTGTTGTAAACATATTTTTATAGAATTTGCAATTCATTAGCTCTTGGAATCTACTTTTCTTCCTCAAATTTCATTCATTCTCTGTAGCTCTCACCACAAATTAAAGGTAGTGATAAGTTTTTTACATTTTAATTCGTATGAAGTTTGGTTACATGATATTATATTTTATATCATTTTTGTTAATTATAAAAATTATACTTATGTGTATAAGATTAAATATCTTATAATTAATCAATATTGGAATTGAGTTCATTAAAAGCTCAAACGGTAAATGCCATTTTAGTTTTAGATTTTATTATTTCAGCATCAATTTTTTTATTTTTATTTTGTTTTGTCGATTATGATATTCATCAGAAAGAAGAGAAAATAATAATAATAACACACAGCTTGTTATTTATATTAGCATGTGTTTGATTATTTCTATATCTGCATTTGTAAATCAGTCTTTTGTTTTACTTCTTGACAAGTAAATGCAAAGAGAGATGGTAGATGCGTTGCACATTAATTAATAATACGCTTTCTGAGGGGTAAAAAAGAAAGTTAAACTTATTCAATCAATGGACGGTAAAAAAAAAAAAAAAAAAGATTTACTTAATGGTAGTAAAACTCAGTTGTTTTTGGTAGGGAAAGAAACCATTTTATTGATTCCACAGACTCCCTCGGGCTTCCCAATGTTTCTTTTCATCCTTATGTATCCATTCTCTCCCCATTTTGGTCCCCATGAATTCTTCACTATTATGTAATCCACCCCTTTGCTTGTCCCGTATCCAACCGCCGTCACTCCGTGATCAAGATCACTTCCACACCGTCCATCAAAAACTCCCTATAAATTAAGTTTTAAGTTATTAGTTGCAGTGCAAATTAATACCAGTAATTGATTAATTAGTTTAATTAATTACCCCGCTGTAGAATTGGAAGTTCCTCCCCGAAGCTTCAATGGCCACGCTCACTGGCTGTTTTGCAAGTGCCTTCAACATAGCCTCTTCATTATTAGCCGGAACATCATGGTACCCACTAATGGTTACCACTTCCAATTCTTCCTGCAATATTTCCTTTTATTGGAATTTTATGAACATTCTAAAAAAATTTTATTACAAGTATTTAGTGTACCTTGTTTGTTTGGCAAATGCCTTCCTCCATGATGTATGGATAGTCATTTTCCTTGTGAATCCCCCCATTGGCAATGATATAAGAAAATGCATAATCCATTAGCCCTCCATGGCAGCCGTTGTTATATGTTGTATCACAGTCAATTAGTTCTTGCTCAGACAATGACGTTAAATTCCCAGTTACAATTTGGTGTATTCCCTCCACAGCTGCTACAGTAGAGAACGCCCAACAACTACCTGTATTAACACCGTTTAATCCATAATTAACCTTCAACTATTACTTAAAACATATAGCAATATATAATTGTATTGTAGAATAAGGGACAAGTACTACATATAATTCAATAAAAATTATTTTAAAAAATTAGAAGGTGATTACCGCATGAACCCTGGTTCTTAACAGGGGTGACAGCTCCTTTCTTTCTCCAGTCGACTGATTTGGGCAAATCTAAAACACCCTTATAAATGAATTCTTCATCACGAGACTCTTTTCTTGTAGAAACATCCGTCTTGAAGCCGAGATACCTGTCTTTGAACTCATCATGACTCAAATCTGCAAACTCATTTAATGCAAGCCAGTAGCTACTAATCTTCTTATTAGTCTCATCAATATGTTTCAGATTATCCTTAAAAATCTCAAATCTATGCAGCTTCTCCTCTATACTTTCATAAATCTTGCCGTGCTTTGATATCCATGACTCAAAGAGTTCGATGAGCCCATCCATAGAGGTTAAGTCATCTGGAGAGTAGCCTACGATTGAAAAATCATCAGCGAGACCCATATGAGCAAACAGAGATGTGGCTAATGCTGCCATGAATATTAACTTTGAAGCTGAGCCTGAGAAAAAAGCCATTGCCATTGGGGCGTTTTAGGTTTCAAGCGAAAATAGGTGATGAAGGAATGCTGGATGAAAGGAAATGGAAGGAGGGGGTGGTTTATATAGGTTATGTTTTTGTACTGAACATATATAATATATACATATATGTGTGTGTGTGTGTGGTTTGGGT